ACCTAAACCCCAAACCGTTAACCCCAAACCCTAAACCCCCTCAACCCTAGGCCCGAAACCCTAAACCCTAAACCCTAAAACCCAAAACCCCAAACCCTAAACCCTAAACCCTAAACCCTAAACCCCTATGGGCCCCTTTTAAAGGAACCCTAGAGCCCTCCAAGATCTCGGGGCCCCCAGCTCGTCCCAGAGTGCCCGCTGCAGCGCATCCTCCCGGAGAGCCTTTGAGGTTAAAGGGGTCTGACGGTTTAAGGTTTTTAGGGTTTAGGGTTTAGGGTTTAGGGTTCAGGGGTTAGGGGTTTGGGGTTAGGGTTTAGGGTTTAGGGTTTAGGGTTTATAGGGTTCAGGGTTCAGGGGTTTAGGGTTTAGGGTTTAGGGTTTAGGGTTTTAGCGGGGTTTCTGGGTTGGATAATTGCTGCGACCACTCTGTCACAGTTGGATGATATCTATAATAGAGCTGTATACAACCCGTAATTAACATGACCCTGATAGAGACTCTTAGATGGTAGGGCCAGTACTGTGTTTCAGAGGCAGGAAAAGGTTCGCTGCGCAAGTGAGTATCTTGCCCTAAGGGTCCACAGGACGCAATATTTAGGTACTTGGGTTTAGGACAGTATAGTCTTGTAGACTAATTTGTTGGAGAGCATGTGACTATTCCGTACTGGGACCTAGCTAGGGTTCAAGGATAGCATAGAGTCTTACACTCGTCTTGCTGGTTGCAACGCAGAGTCGGAACGATTCGATGAAGCTCCGGAATATCCTTACAAACCCTAAACCCTAACAAACTCTGTAAGCCGCAAAACCTCGCAATGTGTAATAGTGAACCCTGGCGAAGACCTTCAACCCTAAACCCTAACACCCGAAAACCCTGATCCCCAAATCCCTAAACTCGAAACCCTAACCCCTAAATCCCTAAACCCTACAACCTGAACCATAAATCCCTACAACCTAAAACCAAAGTCCCTAAACCCTAAACCCTGAACCCTAAAGCCCTAAACCCTAAACCCACGATCAGTCAGGCTCCTCTACATCTGGCTCCTCTGCTCTAAACGACCGGTTGAACAATAAGCAGATCCTTACGGACTCCACGGTTTAGGGTTTAGGGTTCAGAGGTTTCGGGCTTAGGGTTTACGGGTTTAGGGGTTTAGGGGTCTAGGGGTTTAGGGGTTTAGGGTTTCGGGGTTTAGCGTTTAGGGTTTGAGGGTTTAAGGTTCAGGGCTTAAGGGTTTAAGGTTTCAGGGCCTAAACGACCCAAGCCCTATGGCCTTATGCCTTATGCCATTAACTCCGAGTTTAGGGCCCCCAAATAAGGTGGCACCCTCTTAAAGAGGACCCTAAACGGACCCTAATTTAGAGTACGACCCAAATAACCCATCCTAGACCCTAAAACCTAAACCCTAAACCCCAAAAGACCCAAAACCCCTAAACCGTAAAACCCTAAGCCTAAAACCCTAAACCCTAAAACCCTAAAACCCCAAACCCTAAAACCCCAGAACCCCAAAACCCGAATAGCCCCATTCTGGCTTCAGGAGAAAAAGCGGGCGGCGCCTCGCTATTGCCGATGCGCGCGAGAGGCTCATCAGGACCAGCCTGCGCTTCGGCGGTATAATTTGGTAGGAGTCCTTTAGGGTTTAGGGTTTATAGGGGTGGGTTTAGGGTTTAGGGTTTAGGGGTTTAGGGTCTCGGGTTTAGGGTTTCGGGTTTAGGGTTTAGGGTTTGGGGGTTTAGCTTTTTAGGGGTTCGAGTTTAGGGGTTGTTCTATAAGGGATCTATAAGGGATCTTTGTGGGTTTAGGGTATAATTTGGTATTACTTGGAGGGTCTGGGGACTTAGTAAGTCGGTTATAAGTAGGGTTATCATTGGGGTATCTCCGTTTAGGGTACTCAAAACTCCAGGGTTTTAGGGTTTAGGGCTTACAGTAGAAGCCCCAAAGTTGGAAAACGGAGTAGCCTCAATCCTTAATACTGATAGGGAATCCTTGCACTATTTAGTCTTAATCCGGTTTGCAACTTTTTGGTGTTTACTATAAGGGTTTAGGCTTTAGGGCGCAATTTTGGGGTAGGCATTAAAAAGGTTGGTGTGTTTCTCTGCGTGTGTTGTGGGAGGACGGCAAAGGAAGCGTTGAGTTTGTTGTTCTTGGTGTATTGAAATGAAACCTTGAACGCGAGCCTTGGAAGAGAGTTGTAAAGACCTCATCGGACAAGATTTTGAGGTTGAAGCCGTGCTTCTTTTGGGGAGGTTGCAACTGCCGGCTTAGTTTTGGGAAGTGATGGCATCAAGGAGATCTTCAGGACCTACGCCAATAATTGAGGATTCTTGGATCCATTCCCTTAACAACCTACCAAAATCGACTTTTTGTAGGTTCTTACCACAAGCCCTACTGCGGAATTAACAGGGACCCTACAAAACGGCAGGCTGTGGTAGGTTAAAGCGTTAACGTATAGGTTATTGAAATGCTGACACTCTTGAGATTCCAGGATTCCTGCAAACTTTATTAGGGGTTGATAGACCGCCGTGCGTCTTTGTGGAATTAGCGAGGCCTCGGATTTAATGTAGGTGCCTGAATGCTTAGAAGAAGGTTTTGGGCTACTTTATTGTATTGCAATGTTATAACAAGGAACCCTAACAGTAATACAGGTAATTACTAGGCTTCTATATTACATGCTCTGAGGAATGTAAAAAGGACTTGGGGCCAAAAAGACATAAAAATACCATGAGAAAGATGGCTTCGGGTGTTTAGGCGTTCTTTGTTTGAGGGCTTTGAGCTACGTTTGAGATTTTGGAGCTATTTTGAACTTCAGGTTTAGCATCTGAAGGGGCATTCGCGTTGCAACTCGAAGAGCAAGTCTCAATCCTTGAGCCAGAAACTTTAGGATTGATAGTTTTGAGTAATCAACCCTTCTAGCCCAACGAAGCCACTCGCCACAAACCCAAAGCCCTGAAACGCGCATTCCGTCAAGGTCGCTGCAGCAAACCTCTTTCATCTCTATGGGAACCCCTAAGCCCTAAACCCTAAACCCTATAAGCCCTAAACCCTAAAGCCAGAATCTGGAGCCTAGTTTCGCTGGAAGGTAAAGGACTCCAATGACTCAGAGGGGCGAAGACCCGAAACGCGAAATCCCAACTCCCTACAGTAGGGGCCTAAATCATGACCAATACCATTTTGGGGGTTCCTTATCATAATGTAGTATAATGGGCCCCAAAACCCTATTCTAAGAAGACAGGTCCCTAGATTACCCGCAAGCCCTGAACCTCAAAGCCCCAAAGGCATAAAGCGTAAACCTCTAAATCCAAGCTCCCCAACAACCAAGCACAGCGCCGAACCACAAAATCTTGCAAACTCAAAAATCGCAACCCACTACGTACCTGTATATCTAAACCTGATCCGCGATGTTTCAGCATTGCCTGTAGGTGTGGAGGCAGCGGCAGACCCTGAATAAGCAGCATCTGGCGGAAGGCCTGTGCACTTTTGTTGAGGGCGCAGAGGGTCCAAAGACCCTACAACTATGACCCTAAACCCTAAACCCTAAACCCTAAACCCTAAACCCTAAACCGTGACTATGGAAGAAGGCCCCGAAGGACCATTCTTGAGGTAATGAACGTTCTGGAGCCCAGGGCCCCACCGGCCAAAGCCCAAGCCCCCAAAAAAGCAGACCGCCACAACGAAGGCCAAAACAAAGATGGCGTTTGGCATTCTTCGCTTCCCCAGAGGGTCCATAGACACTACCATTATGGAATTAGGTCCCAAAAGACCATCCCTATTATGGCTTTGGAAACCTAATTCCATAACAGTAGTATATATGGACCCTCTTGGTTCTGTATCTATTATGACCTTCGTTAGGAAGAAAGAAACGGAGGTGTGGACGATGAGGAAAATCACGACGATCTATATGACTGAACGTGACAACGAAGGGGCGAACGAGCAAAACGATAACGATTTTTAGAACGGAAATGAAAGCTAGCAAGAGGGTTGAACAAGCCCGAAATCAAGCCGAAAAAAAAAAGCAGCTAAGTGTAAACCCCACCTGTGCGGCCAACAGAAGGTCCTAACACTAGGCCACTAGGCTCCGAGACGCAAAACCTTACACGACTAAACCCCAACCCCAACCCCAAACTTAAGACCACCATCCCCGTGAATTCCAAGTCTCGGCACCTGTGTCTTATGGGGATCCTGCTTGAATTAAAGGAAACCCCTAAACCCTAAACCCTAAACCCTAAACCCACCCTAAACCCTAAACCCTAAACCCTAAACCCTAAACCGTGGGGAATTTAGCGAATATAGGGCTCCTATAAGGCTTCTATAGGGTGTATATAGACCTTCTGTAAGGCTCCTATAGCGGTAACTACCCACCTGAAGATGTCCTAGATTGAGGTCCTAAGGGCAGATCTTAATCTTACCAATATAGGGAGCTTCACAATTAGAATAGGTTCGGGGGCCCATATTACTATAATTATAATAAGGAACGCACCATAAAATATAGGTAAATATTTAGGCCCATACTTTAATCTTACTATCTTATTATTTATCTAAGGCTTAGGACGTTTAGGGTTTAGGATTTGGGGAAGTTTGTCGTTTGTCTTGAAGTGATTCAGCAGTTACGAGTTATGAGCCCTACATCCAAGACCAAGGGGGTTTGCAGGGCCTGAGAATTGGGGTTTAGACCTGGTGGGTTTCGGGTCCCTAAACCCTGAAATAACTACTAATTGCGAAGCCTAAACCCCTCAACCCCTAAACCCTAAACCCTAAACTGCCCCTAGAATGCCCCAAACCCTACTGTAACCCTAAACCCGAAAAGATCCCGTTTAGATTTCTTATAGAACCCTTAGTGGAGCCCCAATAAACCCTAAAACCGGTTTCGGAATCCACAAGCCGGCCTCCGTCCTCTGCAGCATGTGCCTGAAGCCGCGGCGGCGGCTGAAGAGCCCTAGGAGCAGGGTTGAGGGTTTTGGGGTTTGGGGGTTTAGGGCTTTGGGTTGAGGGCTTTGGGTTTTGGGTGTAGGGTGTATATAGGGTGTAGGGTTTAGGGTTTAGGGCTTAGGGTGTAGGGTTTTGGGTTTAGGGCTTTGGGTTTAGTGTAGGGCTTAGGGTTTAAGGTTTAGGGCTTAATGTAGGGGCCTTAATAATTAGAATAGGGTTTTGGGGTTCTGTATACTATAGTCATAATAGGGAACATAGTAGGCCTTTGGGTTCAGGGTTTAGGGTTTAGGGTGTGGGAAGGCTTGGGCGCAATCCCTGGGCTTGGGGTCGACGACAAGGGGCCTTCATAACGAGACTAGGGGGTACGTGTTATGACCTTAAACCTAAACCGATACTACTCTTAAGGTCTAGCTCAAACCCCAAACCCTAAACCTTAGACCCTAACCCCTAAACCGATACTACTCTTAAGGACTACAAGGGCTCAAACCCTAAACCCCTAAACCCTAAACCCCTAAACCCCTAAACCCCTATAAACCCCTAAACCCTAAACCCTGAATCCCTAAACACCAAAGCGTGCTTAGGGCTCGCTAGGAGGTGCTGGGGTTGAGGAGGCCTGGGGCTTCCCCTTGGGACCGAGCGGCTTGCCTGTTAAACCGACACAGACCCGACTATCTTTTCCCTAAACCCCTGAACCCCTAAACCCCTACACCCCTAAACCCTAAACCCCTAGACCCTAAACCCTAAAGCCCTAGACCCTAAACCCCTAAACCCCTAAACCCCTGAACCCATAGACCCCTGAACCGAACCCATAGACCCTAAACCTTAAACCCCTCAACCCTAAACCCTGAATCCAAAACCTCAGGTTCAGATTGTCTACCTTGGGCACACGTTGTTGACTGAGGCTCCGCAGGTATTTTCTGCATACTCGAACTTTGGAGGTAACCACACCGTGGCGCCCACCCCAAGTCTTCTGCAACAGCGGTACTGCTACAAATTGCAGAGACTCCAACATCTCGCTAAACCCTGCCCCCTAAACCCCAAGCCCCAAAGCAGAATGCATTGCAATTCCGAACTACTCCGGGAAAAACGGGCCGAAACAGCAAAAAACCGTCAGTCAAAATCCTGAACCTCAGGCTTAGGTCGTGGGTTCGAGTTTTGGGGTTGCAGAACCCTAAACCCTCTACCCCTAAAGCCCTAAAACCCTAAGCCCTAAATCGTTGTGGGGGCTTGGGCTCTGAGGTTTGGGGTTTTTGGGGGTTCGGGGCTGTGTTTTCTAGCCTTTGGGCTTCAATGCAACCCCTCCCGTTGAGGGTTTAGGGTTTAGGGTTTAGGGTTTAGGGTTTAGGGTTTGGGTTTCGGGTTTAAGTTTAGGGTTTTAGGGTTCACCACAGATGCGCCTGGGCAGCGTGTTCGACCAGGGGTTGGTCACCGGAGGCGGAGGCGGGGGCGGAGGGGGTGGCTCCTTTCGCACGCAGCTTCGTATTGCAGGTCGGTGCCATTACTCTCTGGCTTGAGGTCGCATACCGTAAACCCTAAACCCTGGTTTTTCCATACCCAAAACCCGAAACCCTCTAACCGAAACCTCCATGCTGCCCTAGGACTGTGAAAGTCGTTGAAGGAATTGGACAGGATTTAGACTAGGCCTTTGGGGCATGGGGCTGGGGGATGGAGGCCCCAATCCCAGATGTGCCAGTCTCGACTTTCGAGTTCAGAGTTTGCGGTTTAGGGTTTAGGGTTTAGGGTTTAGGGTTTAGGGTTTAGGGTTTAGGGTTTAGGGTGCAAGCTTTAGGGTCGAGTCTAGCTGTCAGGCTCTAGCACGTAGCGCCTGCATGTGGGTTGGCATTGCTGGCAGAGATAGACATAGAGATGGAGATCTGCTTGCTTGCTTTGCTACAACATAGACAGATAGATAGATGGATAGATTAAATTTGATAAATTGGTAGATTGATAGGTTGATAGATTGATAGATTGATAGAACGATAGATAGACAGATAAATAAGATAGGTAGATTAGACACATAGACTAGATAGATAAATTACATAAATAGGTTAGATAGATAGATTTGAAGGGTAGCTTAGATAGAAAGGCTAGGTAGGTAGATTAGATAGACAGATTGAAAAGCTTAAATAGACAGATTGGATGGGTAGACTAGACAGATAGATTAGATAGACAGAGTAGAAAGACAGATTAGATAGGTAGGTTAGACAGATAGATTAGATAGATAGATTAGAAAGATAGAACAGATAGGTAGTTTAGACAGATAGATTAGATAGATAGAATAGATGGATGAGTTAAACAGATAGTTAGACAAGGCAAGATAAAATAAGATGATTTTAAGATAAGATAAGGTATGAGATGATAAGATGAGGTGTGATAAGTTAAGATTAGACAAGATAGGTAGATAGATAGATAGACAGACAGGTAGCTAGACAGCTAGCTAGACAGCTAGCTAGATAGAAAGGTAGATACATAGATACATAGGTAGATAGATAGACACATAGAGAGACAGATAGATAGATAGATAGATAGATAGACAAACAGCTAGCTAGCTAGCTAGATAGATAGATAGATAGATACATAGGTCGATACATAGATACACAGATAGATAGACATATACAGAGACGGACAGATAGATTCATAGATAGATAGCTGACAGATGGACAGATAGACAGATCGGCAGATGGACAAACGGGCTGACGGAGAGATGGACAGATAGACAAACAGATTGAGAGATATGCAGATATATATATATATATATAGATATATATGTATACATGTGTACATGTATATATATATATATATAGCTGTCTATATATATATATATATATACAGCTATATACATATATATACACACAGATATATATATATATATATAGATTTCTATATATACAGATATATATATATATATATGCATACATACACAGACGAAATCTCCGAGTTGGCCCACGTTCTGCCAAGCTCCTGGGCCTCCTCCGGCGCAGCGTCGCCCTCGCCTGGACTTCTCAGCGCTCTTGGGGCTCAGATCGTGGCATTGAAGGGTTCTTGTTAGGGTTTAGGGTTTAGGGTTCAGGGTCTAGGGTTCAGGGTTTAGGGTTTAGGGTTTAGGGTTTAGGGTTTAGGGTTAGGGTTCTCTTCTGGGGGTCTTGGGTGCTGATTTTTCCAGGCTTCGGGGTTAGCATTTAGTACGTTCAGGGTTGATATCAGGGATTTTCGAGGGTTCTCTAGGGGTCTGTGGGGGCTCAAGATCTTTAACAAGAACATGAGGGTTAAGGTTGCGGGTTTCAGGGGCCAAAGGATTCAGAAATAGGGGTTAAGGTGCAGGCTTAAAGGGGTTTAGGGTTTAGGGTGTTCAGAGTTCGGGGGGCAGCATTTAGCGGTCAGGCGCTTTGGGAATTCAAAGTGTTCCTTTACAGCTTCTTGCAGGACTTGTAGGGTTTCGCCATGGTTTCTATGAGGTCGCTTTCGGGATTGTAAGGGTTGAGGGTGCAGGATTTCTATAACTTCATAACTCTAGGATCCATGGTGCAATCAAGGAATATAAACCCTCTGGGTTTTTAGAGCTTCAGGGGCTCTAGAGTTTCAGGGTTGCGGCTGTAGAGTCTTGGGGCTTAAGTTGCTTAGGGTCGTGGGTGTCGCGGCTTTAGGCTTGAAGCCTCGTACGACGTGCGGCTTGCAGGATTGGGTTGACACCTTACAGGATTTATAGCTTGCGAGTTGAGGGCTTAGGGTAGTGTCGGCTATAGGGTTTACGCCTTGTGGGGAGGGTTCAGAGGCTGAGGTTTGTGGGGTCCAGCTCTAGCTCAAGGAGTTTAGGGTTGTGGGCTTAGGGCTTAGGGTTCAGGGGCTTAAGGTTTGCAGGGTTCGGAGTTCCAGGGCTGTAGGGTTTAGGGTTTAGGGTTTAGGTTTAGGGTTTAGGGTTTAGGGTTTAGGGTTTAGGGTTTGGGGTTTAGGTGCCTTGGGTTGACTCCGTGCTGGGGGGAGGTTGAGAGTTTCCTGCGGGCTCAGGGCTTTCGGGTTCGGGCTCAGGGCTTCTGGGGCTTTGGGGGCGTGGAGTGTAGGGAGTAGGTGTTGTTAGCCTTCTACTCTTATTACTTGGCGACTTAGTGACATGATGTTTTGGTGATCTAATCGATGGAGTCTTGCTCATATTGACGTCTCCGTCGAAGCTACGGCGTGCCACCGTAGTTGTTTGCAGGTCATTCGCGACATTCAACAGTAATTCGCACCGCCGCCCCTGAGTTCCAAAATGATATGCCCCTGCTCGTATCATGATCGGCTTGCTGCAGCAAACTATGATGTTTAGCTGCTGCAACACCAGCAAAATAGAAATCCTATGGGTAACGACGATGATGACGGTGATGACGACCTAGAACCAGGAACCTTCAATCATGCCATCCCCAAACACAAACCACGAAATCCAAAAAACTAAACACAGAACCCCCGTTTAAGGCCTTGCAAATTTTCCATCATGGTAAGCGCAACAGGTAATGATGTTCTGTAATGACAATAACAACAACATTTACGCACTATTCCAAATGCACATTGAGAACTCCTTCGTGATGGTAGTGCAGCAAAGTCGTGATCCGAACAAAAACATCGATACCTGCAGTAATGACAAAGTAGTAGTAGTAGTAGTAGTAGTAGTAGTAGTAGTAGTATTCATTCATTCAGCACGCAGTGGATCCGTCCACCTAGCGAGTTGCACAGCCCTTTAGACTGGAGCCTCTAGGGGCTCAGCATTGTGCCCTTAAGCCGCAACGCTTGCTGGAACCTGCCCTCCAAACACTTGTGGTTTGCTGAGCTGCCATACTATCATCCATATAATCCTCCCCATCATCAATCAGCTTGGCCAGGCACCTGGCCAACAAGTCGTAGAGCCAGTATCAGAGATTTCGGTGCTCTGAGTGTGCATTGGACCGCAGTTTGCACATCTGTTTTGCCTGCATGCCAGTGAGCAGAGATGAAAGCCGGTTGACCAGATGCAATAGGTTGCTCGAGAATCAAGGA